CACATTATCTAGACAATCGGCTCAAAGATGGCGGTAAGGTTGTCAGCCTTACGCGCCGGCCGCGCTTTACTCCCCAGGAAAATTATTTAATTAATTCCTGGTACTTATTTCTGTTAGAGGCTGAGTCGACCCCAGGGCCATAGTGCGGCTGGAAGGATTAGGTCAATTGAAAAATAATCCAATGACCTTATCGGGACTTGAACCCGCGACCTTCCGGCTTGTAGCATAGTGCCTCAACCAACTACTAGACTATACCACGTTATATCCCAGAATAAGTAATTTTTATGAACAGAAGAGATCGTAGATAAGCGGAAGGGGGTTGCTCGTTTGCCCAGGTCGTCGTACCAACTGACAGGCGACCGATATAAGGACACTTGTGACGTCATTGGGCGCCTATATTTAGGCGAAGAGTGCGACCTGCTCCCATATCGCCTGGCGACATCAAGCTACTCACGAATACTACCACGGAAGAACTATCATGCTTCGTCTTGTTATTTAATGACCCTTTCAGTACCGAGAATATACAGCATTGGTTGGTAAGATTAACGAATGAACTGGATAGGATTATGAAGGAAGCGGGCGTGCTCTAAAAGTAGTACCATCTCGGCATTTTCCTGGAAGGGCTGAGGAAAACCGCAAGAAACCGTAGGATAGCTGGTGACACGGCAGAGATTCGAATCGAGCATCTCCCGAATACAAGTCAGGAGCGTTACATCTAGACTAGACCAGACCAGCCTAACAGAAGAACTACTTGGATTAAAGTGGAATTATTGGAAACGTCTCAGAGGTTAACAATTATAAGCATGGGGGCTTATATGCCTCTATTCACAACTTAATGGTTCAAGGGGCATTAGCTTTCTGTACGTGAGTCAGATGCTTAGCTCGGAAAGTGTAATGGGGGGCACTCCAGCCAGCCTTCTCAAACGGAGCTTCTTTTTTTTTTAAATTCGCTTAGTGGGGGGGTGGAGTCCAACTGGGCCCACTCGGCACGGCGGCCACTGANGATTGGCCTATAGTAGCCTGCCCGGTTGATTATGGTGATGGAGAATTTGGTGGAATGAAGATTGGCAGGGGAAACCGAAGAACTCGGAGAAAACCCGCCTCAGCGCAACTCTGTCCACCACAAATCCCACCTGGACACGGGATCGAACCCGGGTCGCCGCGGTGGGAAGCCAGCGACTAACCACTTGAGCTATGGTGCGGCCCAAACGGAGCTTTACTCCCTGCATGTGCGTACGAGTTCTACTTAACCTTTCATGGTCAGGGTTTGGGAAATTGCTGCTGGCCTTCGCCAGTACAGTCATTACTTGCTTCAGCCTCCCCGAGATCGATAACCAAGGTCTGTATTCTCTCCTTGATACGTAAGTGTTTCGTGATGGGGGCCTCCTCTTCGACGTAAGGGCGCTATGTTTGTTGCACAATAGTTTCAGCACGAGTATATCCGCGCTGTCACGACGTCCAGGTCATTATCGACTCTGTGCACCCTTTGTCACTGCACCATACTAAGTAGGATTTATATAATACAGGGTATACACAAAAGGATAGTGCGGTTTCGAAAGTTCCGTATTCCGTAGTGAGGGGGTGGGTTTCCCCATGCACTTAGACCGGTTACTGGTCCATTGTGCATCCCCCTTTAATTTCTACTGTCTCCATACCCTACCCGTACTGGTGCTTACTATCAGCCCCTTTCTGCCAGCGAGGTTCCAACCTCTTACTGGCAGTGGTATCTAATGGTTAGTCCCTTTCTGTCAGCGAGGTCGTCCATCCTCTGGCAGGGCTTCCTAGTCCCTTTCTGCCAGCAAGGTTTCTACCCTCTACTTGGCAGTGGTACCTGATACTTGCCCCATCTACCGGAGGAATTGGAAACTACTTGGGCGGGAAACTTGGCCTAATTTTACTCAGAGGTCTCCTAGAGACATGAGGTTCGTTTACGTGCAGTAAATCTACGACATGGGACCCACGGCTTAAAGTCCCTCCCGGAGGATTTGTTCCCTGAATTTTTCCGCCCTTAAAAATTCCACGACTTCCGCCGGGTTTTTGAACCCGCGTACCTTGAGTCATGAGGTGGGAACGTTACCCCTAGACTACGAAGGCCGCTGGTTTCGAAAGTTAATAAGACATTTATTTCTCAACTTACACAGGCACAACATACACCGTCAGAGGCGGCAACTGTCCAAGTTTCTCATGCGTAAATTACAAACCTTCAATGTGTGCACTCTGGGTCACACGACACACATCCACAGGGTAATCAAACTCATCCCAGACCCGGTGTAGCATGTCCGCTATAATGGTCTGCAGCGCATGCGTTATCCGATCACGAAGTTCATGGATGGACGTGGGCAATATTGCCACATAAACGCCGTCTTCAACGAACACCCAGAGAAAGAAATAGCACGGTGTAAGAACTGGCGAACGGGGTGCACACATTATAGGTTTCTAACCAACGCATGAGAAACCTGGACAGTTGCCGCCGCTGACGGTGTACGTTGTGACCGTGTAAGCTGAGAAATAAATTTTTTATTAACTTCTGAAACTGCACAATTCTTTTGTGTATACCCTGTATATACAGAGGTTTTTATGTCAAAGTCAAAGTCATGTTACAACCGACGGTCAGTCGACCGGTCTCTCTTAGTGTCAAGCACCCATCTGGGGCACAAGACCAGGTTCTTCTATGTAGTATACAATTTTCTCCTGAATATGTATGTATGTATATATATATATACACACACACACACACATCTCACAGGAAACACATTACGTCTCCGATACAAAGCCCAACCAGTTAATGCTATTTAGGGAAACAGTCGCTGTTTGTTGTGAGAACCATACGGAACACACAAAAACATGTGTGGGCAGAATGCATAGCTTTAGTATGTCAAAGCAGCTGGTACATACAATAGCTACTGGGCTGTAAAGTATTAAAAGAAACAACGCTCTTCACCAAACACTGATCCGTGATATTATATTTCAGCATCCCGTTGCATTGAGGCATTATCCGTATTATTAAAGCACCCGTCAGTAATACAACAATATAAAAGACATCTAGAATATGATTCTCACTAGAAATGTAACTTATGCATTAAAAGTCATTATCAAATTATTAAAATGTTTTATACACTAAAAGTGATTATCAAATTACTAAAAAACAAAAGAAAAATTGCCTGATGATGGTCCAAATGCGGCCGGAACATGTTGTAAACTGGAAAAAAATACGTAAAACCAAGAGATATTTTAGCAATTTGATAATCACTTTTTGTGTGTAAGTTATACTTTTAGTGTCCTAATGGTATTTTATTGATTTTAACGCCATAAAGTATTAAAGTTACATTTTTAGTGAGAAACATAATCTAGATGTCTTTATACGAGTATTGTTGCACTGTTGACGAGTCCTTTAATAATACGGATAATTGATCAGTGAGATGGGCTGACCATGTAGCAACACACCTTGGGGCCATGATAATGCGCGCAAAAACTTAATCGTAAAATCCAGAGAATATATGGAAGACCTACGGTCAAACACAGTGTGTCCAGGTTCTGTTAGGACTGTGTTCATTAAAAATACAAGACGTGAATTATTTTCAAAATATCACTCTTTTTATTCAAAATAGTCTCCTTCTGAATCAATACATAGTTGCAATCAATTGAAAAGTTTTCGAAAACAGTCACTGTACTCCTGCTGTGGAATCGCATTTAAAACTGTGGTACATTCCCTTTGGATGTCCTGGATGGTGTCGTGACGTCTCCTTTCATCGCCAACTTAACTTTGGGGAACAACCAGAAATCTGCTGGAGCCAAATCTGGCGAATAAGGAGGATGATCAAGGACTGTGATCCCTTTCCTCGCCAAAAAAATCGCGCACAATCTTCGATTTGTGGGGTGGGGCATTGTCGTGGAGGAGCGACCAGGAACCTTGCTCTCGATATTCGGGTCGAATTCGAAGAATTCTCGCCCACAAACGTTGAGGACTCAGAGATAAAAATCAGAATTCACTGTCTGAGCTTCTGGCAGATTTTCCGTGTAAATGATTCCTTTGGAATCGAAGAAAACTGTTAGCAGTGTCTTTACTCGACTCTTTTGCATGCGCACTTTCTTTGGTTTCGGCTTCTTTGGGCTCAACCACGCTGCACTCTGCCGCTTTGTGAGAGGCTCATATTGAAAACACCATGTCTCGTCACCAGTAACAATCGATTTTGTAAACTGTGTATCACTTTGGGCCGACCGTAACATGTCTTTGCAGTGTTTCACTCTGGCATGTTTTTCATCGCCCGACAGCGCGTGCGGTACAAATCGCGCACAGACCTTCCGTTTTCCCAAATCTTCGGTCAAAATTGATGCGCAGTACTTTTTGGTATTCCCAAAAGCTCCTCGACGAGTCTTGCAGAAACCCATCTGTCTGATGCAAGGATTTCGGTCACTTTTTTTTTTCACATTTTCTTCAGTGCGACTTGTTCTCGGCTTTGATGCACGTGGAGCGTCTTCAATGTCCTCCCTGCCGTCACGAAATACAGCATACCATCGAAAAATGTTCAAGCGACTCAACCGTACACACTTTTTATCATTTCATACGCTTCTCCGGTTGTTTTGCCTAACTTCAAACAAAATTTGATGTTGGTCATTTTCCGACCATCGTCAGAACAGTACTGTCACATTCAAGGTCAGAACACATGATGCAGCGATGCAAACTTCAAGAATCTTAACGCCACAAATCGCCAACAGATGGCATTGCAGGGCAAAAAAAAAAGTCCTAACGTATCTTGGACACATCGTGTATGCAAGGATAATATTAAAAATGAATAAAATAAATGGCATGGGAGGATATTAATTGGATGCGTGTCGATCAGGATAAGCAACAACGGCGGGCTTTTGTTAACAAGGTAATGAATCTTCGGGGGTCTATAAAATGTCTTGATTAACTAGGCGATTATCAGCTTCTCAAGGATTATGTTCCATGCAGTTAGTTACACTAAGACAAACTGTATGCGAAGACACACATCTCTAACCTTCACGAGCGTTCTGAAGCGGTCGAACCTCCTCATGCTGAACTCCTCCTGAAAGAGTGACATGTCCAGGCGGCTGCGCCTCACGACGCTACGGCGTCGGCAAGACACCTCGTCGTTAATCCCAAACCACATCTCCATCTTAATTTCAAGTGTTCAAAAAATTACTATAGCTGAGGCCACAGAATTCAACGTGTTCACAATAATTAGCTGAAACTGTCTCACTTCACCAGTTCTGTTTATTTAGGCTCTGTAGGTCCTATACAAACGAGGTGACCATCCCAAATTCTAAGATTCCTGCATTTTCCTCTTAATGGTAATATTGTCTCTATGCCTCATTAATCACCACGGAATTAAGACATTGTGAGTGGAGATAGAGGTCCACACACTCTTAACTTCTGCATTGGAAGGAGATGGGCGGTCAGCTTCAACCTTCGGTTGCTTTAGCCCTTGCTACCCATTGGACAGGATGCTAGGTGAGCCCTAGATCCATCTGGATGCTGTGGAGAGAAGATAAATTTCTGTTCCTATCGGGAATCGAAACCCGATTCTTGGGCCGTGCAGCAAGTAGCCTGATCACTATACTGACTGAGATATCGTGACTATTTTATCTTAAGGCGCGTCCACATTACTCGTGCTCGTGTGACTCGCTAAACTCGCGAGTAATGTGGACGATATGACAAGTCAAGAGACATGCAAATTTTAAATTTTTAATTTAAAAACTATAGCCAATAAATTAAAATACGACTACAGCCTGTACACACTACGAGTAAATATACAGATCCTCACGCGCCGAAGCCTGGCGAGCAACTGAAGTAGTGTGGACGAAGATTTACGAGCACAAGTAAAAGCCAGACGAGTCTCCCGACGAGCACAAGCCTGGCGAGCACGAGCACGAGTAATGTGGACGCGCCTTTAGAGAAATCAAATGTTTGGAAACTATGTCTCAGCTAGGGCTCGAAGTTCGTAACCGCTAACAAAAGTAGGCTATTATGGGTCAAAAACCTGAAAGTGATGATTTTCACGTTCATGATATGTAAGCAGTGTCCGTCTTTTAGTGCACTCAATTTCACCTGTCACTTCACAACATGTTTCGGCACTACAGTGCCATCATCAGGTGCTCCATTTACGTCAATCTATTTCATTGCTTGCCATTATGTCATTGTAAAATTTAAAAAGTATTTAAAATGTTGTCAAAATCCATTACATAGGTGCCAGATTATATACACCTGGGATGTTACGCCGTGTATTTTGGTACATAGGTACTAAAACTACATGAAGTCAGACCCCAAAATACCACATCTTAATATTCACAGTAGCGAGAATCTTAAACCTCATACATTTTAGACCCTTTTTAATATCATCCTTCAATATTACCGTACTCATCTAAGAAGGCGCACACAAACAACAGGGTTTCTTACAAATACCAATGCAAGGTCCTATGCCCGTTTAAATCACCAGTAAGCTAAAATAATAATCAGCCATCTGACTCTAGAAAAATCTATTTTTATTTTATTATTAGCAACAAAAGATTGATCGCTTGCTCATTACATAACTTACGACCATGCGAAGCGTTACCACTAAAAAATTCATTGCTATGTTAACCCGAAAATTTTGATAATTTCTGAACTTTCGTCTCATCATTATGTTACTTTTTACAGATATATAGAGGGATATTCGAGCTACATGTCCAGCACATCGTACCGTCCTCCAGTTTTCTTGAGCACTAACACTGTTTCGATACAATAACAACGTGTAGGTAACTCTTCATGGGTATACTTTCCAAACGCAAATGATTCAGGAACACGATTACATTGTTCAAACATGCGAAATGCCTCAGACTTCAGCTCAACGCCGAAACACCACGCGAACGAACCTCACACGAAGGACGTTTACTGCGAAGCCCTGGGCCTACATACCACACTGATGAATCTCCCTAAGCTGGCGCTCTGCCTCAAGTCAACACCACGGGAGACGCCAGCGTCGCGACGGACATATGTGTAGGGAAGGGGGGGCACACACACATGAAGGAATTCTGTATAGCCTTTATAGAGAATATGAACCCGGAATTTTGCACGCTGTACTCTCACCGGGGCACAGACTGGTTCGGAAGGAACACCGTGTAACCTCACAGGCCTTTCCCGTGGTTTTCTCAGTCCCGCCAGTTTCCATGAAACATGAAAGGTTGCCTCATCACTAAAACAAACTCGGTTGAGGAATGTTTCATCCTCAGACATTTGTTCCAGCATGTTAACTGCATCATGTTTCAGGGAAACTGAACACACAGTGTGAGAATGTGGGGATCAGAAAATCTCCATGTGACTCGGGAACTTCAGCGAGATAGTCCAAAGGTGAATGTGTGGTGTGGGATCATGTGCAATCGAATCATTGGTCCGTTTTTCTTCGACGACCCATCAATTACTGCAAATGTTTACCTTGATCTTTTAACTGAATACGTGGCCCCACAACTACATGACCTTCAACCGACCATCATTTTCCAGCAAGATGGTGCGCCACAACATTGGGGACTGCATGTTCGTGGGTTCCTAAATGAAACATTTCCAGACCGGTGGATTGGAAGGGGTGGCCCAATTCCCTGGCCACCTCGTTCGCCAGATGTCACTCCCCTCGACTTCCTTATATGGGGTTATGTTAAAGATATCGTGTATCGAACAAAGGCACGGGACATCATTAATCTAAAGCAGAGGATCACTGATGCCTTTGCCACAACTGATGAGGGTATGCTACAGAGAACATGGCAAGAAATCGAGTACCGTCTTGATGTGCTTCGTGCAACTAATGGTGCCCATACAGAGGTGTATTAAATGAGGCCAAAAAACTTAAATATATACGTCTCGTGTTGTAATAATTTCCACTTATGTGTCTTTTCATTTTCCTTTGTAATAAATTTCTGAAATTGTAAAGAGACTTTATGGACACTCTGTATAACTCAGGCTCAGTCTTTAAAGGATTAATATCATATTTTCCCGAATACAAGGCGAGGATTTCTTTCAAATCGTGCTTCTTAGAAAAGACAGGTCGCATTTCTTTTCCGACCTTCAAGAATAAATATGTTCCAGGGTGTAGGCGGGTTAGATTACCTCCACCGTAGCCCTGCGAGTTGTAGAAGGCGACGAAAAGAGAACCCGGTGCCTATAGGTGGGGATACGAAAATTGAGACCTAGTCCTACATGTTTTGGGGGTTGGATGCAAGGCTGACGTCCTCCTCTGTACAAAAAATATTGCTGCGAAATCTGAAGACGTGAAAACTGGATGGTCTAATTCAATGGAAAAATCTTGACGGACTCTTCCAAGGAAGGCCATGACTCAGAAAGGGCTCTTTGCCGAAGACGATGAATAATTTTTTAGTTCTTAACAGTACGGTTTTTAGTTCTTTCGTCTCAAAACTTTCCACGCATTCTTATTCTTGGCACTAGACGTGAGCAGTCAGCTTCACCCCACTTTACCAAAAGCACCTACTGGACAAGAGACTCGGGTGGGTCCCAAAGTTAGTGTTACCTGTACATGACAAATCTTTCATTCCTGTTGCGACTGAACCCCGATTCCGCGGTTGCACAGCCTGTAGCCTAGTCACTATACTAACGACGGTAACTTGGTGACATCGTGTGATTTGGTAGATAGGTACAAATGTTTCGGAGAAACCTACTGCCATCTTCAGGGCAGAATCTCTTCTCTCTTTTATGTTGAAGATGGAGGAAGGTTATTCCAAAACGTCAGAAGTTTCGTATACAAGTACAGGCGTTTCGAAGGTGCCCGATATTTCATCACCAAGGCAGAAGGGAGAGAGGAGTTCTACCCTTAAGATAGGGGCACTAATCTATATGGTGTCACATCTCAGAAGGGAGTTATCTTTATTCTCCCAGCCGCTGAGAGCTTAGAATTTTCCCGAGACTGTATCAACTATACTTTCGTGTAGACGTATTTAAGACCTGCAGTATTTATTATTATTGGGGTAGGGTGAGACTGAGTACCTTGGCACTGCTGCCCAAGATCGGCACATTGCACCAGCCCCTGATGATAGACAAAAGAATAGAGCGTTGGTGGAATGAGAACTGGCAGGGAGAAACGAAGTATTCGGAGAAAAACCTGCCCCTGAGCCACTCTGTCCATCACAAAACTAACAGAGACTGCCCTGGGATTGAACTCGGGGCTCAGCGGTGATTAGCAAGCGACAAACCACCTGAGGAATGACACAAACCTAGGGTTCCGTCACTTCAATTTATCAGGCAAGTTTCCAGCCAATTTCTGTGTGTATCAGTACACGCGGGATTAACCAAAATATCCACACCGAAATGAATCACCACACGCAAATAGCTCAACTGGTCTGGGTGAACTGCACAGACCATAAGGTTGCATGGCGAACCAACTCGCCACAGAAATGATTCCCTGACATGACTAAGTCGCTAAACAATGTCCTTGGTCAGTTATTCTAAACATTCCGAATCTTGCATCCTACCGGTTGAGTAACTGTCCCGACGCGGTGGCCGGGTTTCGATACCAGGTCACGTCATGTGGGATTTGTGGTGGACAAAGTGGCATTGGGGGTACGTTTTTCTCTACGTACTTCGGTTTCCCCTGCCAATTTGTACTCAATCGACTGCTCCACACTCATAATCATGTCATCCGGGTCTGGTACAATAATCCAAAATGGTGGCCGACGTACTAAGGGGACTACCCCACACTACGCAATTAATTAAAACTGTCCCCTAAGTTCATTTAGTTGCTGGGTCGCCATGTCGGCGCCTGTATCATTCAGGTACTCAATTCAAGGTTGTCTCAAATTAATATATATAAAAAAGGAGACGCAAGCATAGGGCAGCGGTTTCCAGACACCGTACGACTTCCGCGCCCCCTTCGCGCGTCTGTATAAGGTGCAGATTTTTTTTTCAGTTTTCATTTTTAAAGTTACGTGAGCCAGGGCAGTTCAGTCGGGATAGCGACTAGGCAACAGGCTGGACTGCCGTGGTTCGGTTCCCAACAGGGGCAAGGAATTTTGTTCTTCTCCATAACTGCCCGCCAAACCTCCTATGCAGTGGGTACCGGAGGCTTTCTTCCGGGGATAAAGTGGTCGGGGGTGTTAACTTTTCACCTCTATCTAGTGCTGATGTCATGAGTGGTGGAGTTATACCTCCACTCTGCAAGATTTCATGTCGAATAAGTGTCCTAAAATCTTCTTGGGCTGTCAGCCGTGTCAATTTTGAGCTTAAAATCCAACGTTTCTGAGATCTCCTTCGCCTCCATCATCAGGGTAGACTGCCATGGGATTAGGCATTGATCTAAGAGACATATATATACAATATACAGCAATATACAGTCGTTCAACACACCGACCCTGATGATGGAGGCAGAGAACTCTGAAACGTTTGGTTTTCACTCAACAATGACCACGCTAATCACCCATACGCCTTCATGGCGCGGTGCTTAATTAGGACTAGGGATAATTTCACCTTTACTTTTACATAATGTGGCATATTTGCTCAAAGCAACAATTATCGAAACAGGAGAAACAGCTATCGCTAAGTAACAGATGGGTAAACAGGCGACAGTACAACAGCCGGTGCGAGGGAACAGCTTTGAGAACACTCCGTTTCCCCGGCAACGAGAGCATACGAAATAATGGAAGAGACGTTTTCTGTTGCGTCCGTGCCGAGTCTATATTAATGAGGGCCAGCTGCCATTATACGTATGTGCGAAATATACACTTGAAGAAAGGTCGAATGTATTCATAAGAGACAGACCCATTTTCTCGTCAGAGATAATGTTACATAAGGACTATTACCGCAAGAGTTCAGTTGGAAAAAAAATCTCTGGTCGTGGGCCTCAAGGGGCCTGATGCCAAGACGAACTGATCGGCGGTAAACCGCCAGTCGTAAAGTAATCCTGACTCTGACTCTGATTATGAGAGAATTTGTAGCGCGGCCGAGCGGTCTAAGGGACGGGTCAGGCATACGATTGTTCAAGTGAGGAGACTGCCGTGGTAGCAAATACTACTAGAAATAGGGCATAGTCTGCTGTACTGAGCCTAGACTGACAGAGGCCTTGTATATATTACACATACTTGATATTAAGACTGAATTGTAAATACGTGTACATAGTGACAATGGACTAATACTATCGACTATGATTAACGAATGACAGACCCGACTTCTGGTCAGAGAGGGCGCTCCACATGGACAGAACAGTAACTTTCATTTAAAAAGTAACATCTGGTCATGAGCCCCAGCCGGGGCTCGACACTAAGACAGACTGACCGACCGTCAGTCGCAATGTGACTTTGACTTTGACTTCAACACTATGAGAGAGACTTGTGTCGGCTGTTAGAAGAGTTGGAGGTTGGTGTGAGGTGGCCGCCAACCTGCGAGGACGTGATCCCGGGAACAAAGGAATGTTCACTGTTGGAAGACGTTACCAAGCAGAGGAGTGACAACCGTGATCGAGAACAGTAGTATGTGATAGTGATTTGTAAAGTGTAGTCATGAATTGTGTGTTAAAAGTGTCCATTAAATCCGATTACCAATCCAGCCCCGTCTATAGTCATTTTGCCACGTGACAATATTTTAGGGTTTGTTATCAATTAACACTACTTGTTAGAACAGCAAAATGAACAAACTAAAGAGAATGAGAGGGGCAAGACATGTACCAAATAGGGGAAAGACATGGTGACAGCTTTGTAGGAAAACTTGAAGGCAAGAGACCACTAGGAAGACCCAAACGTAGATTGGAGGATAATATTAGGATGGATCTCAAAGAATAGGATGTGAGGGTGTGGACTGGATTTATGTCTCAGGATAGGGATCATGACGGGCTGTTGTGAACACGATAATTAACCTTCGGAATGCCGGAAATTTGAGTGGCTGAGCAACTGTCGGCTTCCCGGGAGGAA